TTAAGTAATAAATTATATATAAACTAACATGATTTCTTTTTATATTTATTGTTTTAGATAAAACTTTGAAAATAAAATCTGATTAGGCTTTGAATCTTTTTTGCGACATGTGAATAACTAACATTTTCAATTACATTATAATCATATTTAGTCTAAAAACAAAACTATTAGAATAATATTTTAATATATGAAATCTTTAGTTAATATCTGAATAATAAACTAACTTGGTATTAAAAAACAATAAATTGTAAAGATTTAAAGCATATTATTAAGTTAAAAAAAGTTAAAGTTTTTGTTTGTTAAAAGAAACAAAATTAATTAGAGGTATTTAATTAAAATGTATTGTAAATTAATTGAAGTCGCATGTAATAATTTCAATTTTGTCTTGAAAGGTTTTTTAATTTGAAAAGTTTTATGATTTAATGACAATTAAATACATGAGTTGACAAAATAAATGTAATTTCTATTTAAAATCAAATTTATGTGAATTATTTTATTTAACTTGTCTTTTATTTGTTTTGTTCAAAGAATTAAAGAAGTTTTTTATAGCATTTTGAGTTCTACCAGGCATTCTTTTAGCAATTTTAGACCAAGAATTACCGAGTTCCTTTTGAGCTTGAATTATAAAATTTTTTTCTTCGATTGTAAATGGATTTCTATTTAAAGAAGGATCTAATTGATTAAATCATCTTTCTCTACATTGCTTTCCAACCCTTGTTTCCATCTTTTCAGCTATAAATCCCCAGTTTTTAGCTCCAAACTCGGAAACTAGATTTGTCAATCGCTTGTCTTCTTCTTTGCACCACACCTCTTTTCAATTGTGAATTTGTTGTCTCTTGTGAACTCTTAGAATTACTCTTTCTACCTCTTTTTTTATTGGTTGCTTTTGATTTTTTCTTTAATTTCTTTTTTGATTTTTTACCCCAAATAGTATCTGTGCTATCGCTATCACTCATTGTTTCACCTTCATCTTCTTCTTCATTACATTCACTCTCTTTAACATCTTCTTTTATAGAAGAAACATACTCTGTATTATCATAATGCTGTATAGTATCAACAAATGGATTTTTTAGATCATGGTTAGGTACCATTTTTTGATATTCATCAAAAAGTAAAATTTTATGAGTTAAGTTCTTTGAGTCATCATACTTCACACCTGCAAATAATAATTCATCATCACACAAATCAGCTAGGGCGCTTAATTTTTTTGTAAAATCACCACCATATTTATACTTTTTTTCCTCAACCTTGTTTAAATAGTAATCAAATTCATTATAATAACTAGCATCTTCATTACCATAAGCTTGACCAAGAAATGCTTGATAGCTTTCATATATAGACATCTCATCTACCCTATAATAGTTTTTTGCATCCAAATTCAAATTTGGATCGTATTCTTCACTATCTTGATATCTTGATTGATTCATTTTACAGTCTTTATTATGCATATTAAAAGTGAAACAAATTTTTTTGTATTACGAAATAATACCAAAATAAACAAATTAAAATTGATTTTAATAAATGATTAGAATGAAAAATAAGTGTTATAAGTAATATAAATTATACCTTATTCTAATTTAATTACTTTTTCCTATTTTTATTCTTTTTTATTCCATAATAGAAATTTTTTACATCATTTTCAGATCTATTAGTCAATCTTTCTGCTATCTGTGTCCATTTATTACCCAGTTCACGCTGTGATTTAATAATTAAGTCTATTTCAGATTTTGTAAATGGGTTTTTATTTAAAGAGGGATTTAATTGATTGAAATATCTTTCACGACACTGTTTAGCATTTCTTGTGACCATTTTTGCAGCAATAAAAGACCAATTATCAGTGCCATAATTTTTAATAAATCTTAATAAACTAATATCTTCTTCTTTTGACCATCTTCCTCTGTTAAGTTGCTCAGCAAAGCAATTACAAATTTTGCTGTCATTATTTGAGATATTATCAATTGTATTCGAATAAAGTAATTCTTCATCATTGTGAACCGGTTGTTTATTTTGATATTTCAAAATCGAATTGATTGAAATCCTATTTACATTAAAATTTTCTACCCTTTTTGTCAATTCATAATCACACACGTCAGCAAGTTTACTAAATTTTTGTAACTCTGATGATCCATAACTCAAATTGGTTATTTCTTTATTATTAAGATTTTCCTTTCTTTCTCTATTAAAAATAATCCTTTCTCGATTAAATAAATTTGTAGAATTAGTTGCACTTTTAAATGGTGAATTACCATTTTCTTGTTTAACCTTCATGTTAACACCTTCATCTTTTTTATCACTTCTTTCAATAACATTTGAATCACTACATATACTTTTTCACTATTTTCTTTCTTTTGTTGATAAAAAATGTTAAACATGAAGGGCGTGTATAAATAATTAAAAAAATATTATGATTCGAATTTTACAGATTAGATGGAATTAGAAAAAAATCTTTCAAAATTAAATATTTTTAAACTCTTTATTGTTTTCTATAAGATGTATTTAAAACATTCGTTTTAATCTTTCTGTGTGTAGATATTTGTTTAAACTACTTTTTTGAGTCTTTCAAATTTTAACTTATTATTTTGATTAACAATGTTGTTTTAAACGATTAACAGTGTTTTTAGAATGATAAATGCTTCTTCTTAGAATGTCTGTTTAAAGAAACTTTTTATGCTTAAATTTGATTTTAAAGTTTACTTTGATTTATTACAAAAATAAAATAAATCAAAAATATTAGAATGTTTTTAATGTATTTTCACTATTAAAAATGTTTATTTATTATTCTTTAAAAATAAAGATTAAAATTAATTGAGGTGATTATCTTATTTAAGAAACAATTTTAACATTTAAAAACAAAATATTTCTTAAATGTCAAATCAGATGATTAAAAATTAATTGATATAAGTCAAAAAATAGTTTATAGTAAATCACTTAAAACTAAAATCTAATTACTTTATATAGAAAGAATTAAACTTATAAGATTTATTTAATGATTTTTATAATTAATAAAAATGGCTTATATAAACTAGTTAAATGTATTAATTTAGTTAATTAAATAAAGATTCTATTAAATTATACAGAATAAATAATTATTATATTAAATAAAGAAAATTGTTGTGTTAAAGTGGCATTCTTTTGATTGGCGCCCCATTTCATGATTGGCGCCCCATACAAAAAACTAACTAGCTAAAAATGATTGGCGCCCCAAAAACCGATTGGCGCCCATAATTTTGTATTAAATAAAAAATTTTTATGAAATTTTTTTAAAAAAATATATATAGAAAATTTTTATTAAATTCATCAAAAATTTTTTCACCCTTAATGCAGTATAGCGAAATTAAAAGAGATAGAGACACTTTGCTGCAACTGTTGCTTGAACATGTGGATACGCAAA